ACCTGTACCAGTATTTTGGAGATGTATCTGTATAAGTCCTCAGCTTTATCTTCATCAGATGCTGCCCAGGAGTCATTGCATCGACGGAGGGGTGGAAAATATGATGGGAATTCAGTAATTTTTGGTGATCTTTCACGGGGAACTGTATTAAGGCAGAAGTTGAAAAATTGGTAACCGAAGGTGGCCAATTTCTGCTTATATCGTTTACTGTAATAATTATAGGAGCGGCGATTGTTTTTTTTTTAACGTTGTCATAGTATTCAGCATGGCGTTTGGTATGCATTACGTCTATCAGGTATTGAGGTAAATTATTTCTCTATTATAATAATATAGATTGGTTGTGGAATAGCGATGTTAAAGGAAATTTAAGGCAAGGTCTTCTGGGGTTTTCAGAGATATTCTGAGGTCAATTTTATCGGAAAGGATTTTATGAAAGAATTTCCAGTTAAATTGGCCTCTAATGAAGGACCGTGAAGAGAGTTTAGGAATAAGGGCTATTGATAATTGAAGTATTAATGGACTATGATCTGAGGAAATTTCATCACGCCAGATAAGAGAATGATTGAGGGAATCTAAGCCACTGTGAATTGAAAAATCAAGGATATCAGAATAGTGGTCAGGATCCAGTAGGCCAGTAGGTAGAAGAGTTGGGTGGCAGGAGGCTGAAACGTTGGGGATTCAATGCAGACAGGAATGTTCTACCACGAGAATTCGTGCTTTCTTGATATTTCTTGATGCTAGGCATTTAATAAATCTGCACCCAGGATGAAGTGGTGACCTAAGGAGTGAGGAGAGAAATGAAATGGACATTGGATATGGATCTGTTAGGAGGGCAATATGCTGGTGCAACGGTGACAGGAAAGGAGAAGGTTTTGATTGGTTGCTTGTAGGACATCTTGAGTAGGTGATGAGAGAGGGATTGGTGTGTAACGACAGCAGTACCGGCATGTGCTCTACCGTCAGGATGGTCAGTATGTACGGTAAGTTATGTACTATGGAATTTTTAAAAGTTGTTTTCTGATCAATCGAGTTTCAGTAAATAGGGCTACGTCAATGTTCTTGTCTATTAGCATAGCTGTTAGCTGTCGACATGATTTCTAACACCATTCGCATTCCAAAGGAGAATAGATACGTGTTTTGTGGGAGTCATTTAAAGATTTTTCACAGGAGGAATGAGGTGAAATACGAGATTTGTAAGGAGTGATATGAGTGGGGTAACCATTCATTTGAATTCAATGAGGAATAATGACAACAAACTTGTGAGACCTGTGGCATTTGAGAGAGGAGGAATGTGACGAATTTAAGGATGATGATGGTTAGGTATGTTAGGGTGAAGAGGATATTGAGGTTGTTGTTGCGGTAGGGCATTACGTTTATTGGTTGTGTTTTTACCTCCAAGTAGTTGGGAGAATGATGCTATTTTATTGTTCACTATTTTAGAAAGTCCTCTTCTTGGTCTGGTTGTTTCATCTTGAATCCGGCTCTTCCGGTATCTGGATTTGAGATTCTTATAAGTTTGGCAGCCTTTTAGTTGGCCGGGTGTCTCTCTCTAGACATAGAGCACAAACTGCAGGATCTGGTATCGGTTTGGTGCTCTCTGCTGATTTGTGTTGTTCGCAAGTGGTGGCAATAAGTCTTCCTGTGGCACCCCACGATGCCGTACGCCTGGCAATTGTGGCACTGCACGATTTTCCTCTAGGGTTATGCCTTCTCTGTTCTCACGTTAGTGTGGTATAATCGCTTGATTTCATATATTTTCTCAAAATCTGATGATGGCTCTAGATCCACGAAAAATAAAGGTAGTGAGACTATATTTTTTATTCCTGGCTGCTCCTCATTCTCCTTCAAAACGTTGGTTACCTGACATACTTTGAAAACAGGCACCGTTAATTCTTTTTTTATTATTTCAATTGGGGTTGAGGAGTGCAAATATCTTATCACCACTCATAACACTCTCTCTTGCCTCAGCTGGTATGTATGAAAATTCACATAGGTTTCTGATATAAACTTCACTATTTTTCAGTAGGTTTCAGCAGTATCTGGTATTATTTTTTTATCGTTGGTCCCCTGTTAAGGCAAGAATAACTACCAGATCATATTTTGTTTATTTGTGTACACAATAACTGGATTTTTTAAATATTTCTTATAAATATCGGAGAAGGGCTTGGTTCTCTGGGTATTGCTGCAGACTTCATTACTTCTCTGTCATTCTGAAGCACTTCCAACGGATTTGGAGTAAACAAAGGAGATTCTTCAACCATGTTTTGCAAAGAGGTACCTGGTTGAGACTGAGTTTCTGGTTCTTAAGTATTCACTGTGGTCATTGAAGGTGTTTCTCGTAGGCTGCGACCAGTTGTTTGTTTTGTTGGTGAACTAGGAGGGATAGAGCCGCCTGCTGAGTCCTTTTAACGAGCACCTTACTGGACATCAGTTGGTGATAATACCACATGTCATAAGGGAAGAAACAAAAAGGGGGAAAGTTAAATTAGACTGTGTAAACAGTAAATATCAACTGGGCTGATGTACACGTGAAATATATTCAATGAATAATCAGAGAAATTCCTACAAAAATAAGTAAATACTGAGAGATGAGTTGGGAACAGGAACTTTTGCATTAGCTAGTTAATTAAATTAAAATTACAAAATATTATTTTTCATTATTGGACACCCTCCTCCTCCCTTCCCTGTTCAACTTATCCAGGAAGCTTCCTCCATAAAATGACACTGACTTTAGAACTTCATTAGAAGAACAAAAAGGTTATAGACAGATGGAGGTGTAGTAGACTAACATTGGTATTATTGTCTTTGGGGTAGGCAAAAAGGACCAATATTTGCAGGACTTCATTCTCCCACCGGTACCAGTAGTCTAAAGTACATTTGACCGAAATGACAGGGCCACAACACACATGCCAGGCAACATCCTTAGAGAGTTGAAGAGGGATATCCACACTTAACAAATAATATATATAATATATAAGAGAAAGTGTTCTCCTTTATGCCGTTATATTTTATCTGTAACATCAAATTCACTGATTGTTAATATAATTTTTTTTTAATAGGTGTTAGGTTTGACTCATTAGAAAAATTTAAAACAAGATGTTTAAAAGTCTAATGCTAATTTTAAAATTATTTTTTAACACTTAATTTAATCATAAAAAAAAATAACAGGTCATTAAACTAACAATGAATTATAAATGCACAAATATATATAATTAGGCACTAAGCATACATTTACAATAAATAAAATTGTATATACCAGATAAGTTTCTAAAGCGTTTATAACATTTAAATTGTGCTTTTACGGATAAACTAGTTATAACAATCTCATTCGCAACAACTGTATATTTCACATCGAACTATATTATTTTCATAGATATCATACTATTAAAACTGCTTTTGAAAAAATCTAACATCTTGAGGTATTTAACGTACCAAATAAGGACCTAAATTGAAACCATTGTAACAAAACACAAACACAAGGCGTTACATTCAATAACATATATTCATTTTACTTATAAATACATGGTCAATAAATTAATTGAGTGGCTTCATCTCAAAGACTGTCATTTTCAGAAAGAGGAGAAAAAGACAATTTTTGTTTTATTGGTTTAGCTCGAACTGTTTCTGATGATTTAATTTATGTTCAAGTTGAATCATGGAAACCAATCATTAGATTTGGTTTAAATTGGTTTAGATTGATTGATTTGTTACAAATATTGGCTTATTCTCAACTTTTTAAAAATGACTGATGTTCCTCTTTGATATGAGTTTACTAAATTAATTAGTGCATAGTTTTAGAAAATGAACTGATGAGATAAAAATGCATTAACCATCCAATTATTTTTATCTAATTTTAAAACACATTGCCTTAGGTCACAGGCGGATCTACGGGGGGCTTTCGGGCTGAAGTCTCCCCCCCCCCCCTAAAATGGTAAAATATAACCATGTTTTACAGAAAAAAATATTAAAAACTATCTCTTAAAGTATTCTTGTTCCTGTAATTACATGTAATAGGACTTCAGGAACTACTTAAACACTATTTCATATAGGTAGTTAATTTCTTTCATATAAAAAAAAATCTTTCGGGCTGAAACTCCCCCAAAATTAAATCCTGGATCCGGTAGTGCCTAAAGTTTATTGCTTATAGTCTTGTGGTAATGTTATTTAAGGCCACAATAATTTCCAGTTTGAAGACAATTTGTTTGTTTCCAAATTATTCTATATTTTTTCAAAAATTCTCAAGCACTTGTATTTAGAAATAGGAATACAATCAATAAAGAACATTCATGGGTTGAATTGGTAAAAATCTTTCACTCATTTGATGTGTTATAAATAAAAACAACTTAAGAATAGGAAATTACTTAAATAAGTTGTTTTGGTTATGATATCTTCAGATCAGGGTCAAAAATGTTGACTATTGGTCAGAGTTATTAAGACATTTAAAAACCTTTGAAAATAGTAAGATACACAGGCGGATTTACGGGGGGGGGGGGAGGGCTTTCAGGCTGAAGCCCCCCCCCCAAAATGGTAAAATGTAACCATGTTTTATGGTAAAAAATATTAAAAAATTATGTCTTAAAGTATTGTTGCTCGTTTAATTACATTTAATAGGACTTCAAGAATCACTTAAACACCATTTCATATAGGTAGTTAGTATATTTCTGTTTTTCCAATGTAATTATCATTATATATATGAAAAAAAAGCTTCCGGGCTGAAGCCCCCCCCCAAAATTAAATCCTGGATCCGTTAGTGGTAAGATATCATTATCAGCTCTATTCTCGGGTAGAAAGAATTTGACCAATCATTGATGATTGTGTTAATGATCTTAATGAAAACAATTAAATTTTTGAATATCAAAAATAATTTGTAATACAATATGGTTCTTGATACCACTTATCTTATCTTTTCTTTAAATATAAAATGTACTACTAAACTGTAGTAAAACACCTTAATATGGAAAAAGATACAGTGATATTTTTTAATAAAATGAAAGCATACATAAATGAATTGTATATTTTTATCATAAATATGCTTGACTCATATATTACCAAGCAATTATTCATTAACATTTTAGGTAACAAAACATGTATATTTTTTTATTGTGCTAATAATGTGCATAATAAAAACGAAACAATTAAAATGGAAAAACATAACCAAGGAAATTTCCAAGGTCCAACTTATTCTTTGGTTCAAACAAGTATATTTTATAGAAACAATGCTGGGAACATTACATATTTAATTAGAAAAGTCAATTTAAAGAAGACTTACTTCTGTAAAAAAAAATAATTATTATTTAACACTCAGTAATTAGGCTAATTGATGAAGTTCACTTTTACTGTATTTTACCAAGTATCAATACCAATATGTAGAACCAAAAAAAAAAATTGAATATTTAATAGTTGACCATTGTATTATAAAGGAAGGAGATGGTCCGGAGTTGCGGTCATAAATAGGCTAAATAGTGGTAAAACTATTTTATTGAAAGCCGACCTTTCGACCCGACTTTGTAGGTCTTCATCAGGGAGGTGTGTTCATCTAGGAGTTTCACTTAGAACTGAGTTTCACTGATCTATGAGTTGTAAGTGAAACTCCTAGATGAACACACCTCCCTGATGAAGACCTGCAAAGTTGGGTCGAAATGTCGGCTTTCAATAAAATAGTTTAACCACTATTTAGCCTATTTATGACCGCAACCCCGGACCATCTCCTTCCTTAAAAAAAAAAAATCAGATTGTTTTACCAAGTACCAAAAAAACAAAACTTTATTGACTGATATTGACAATTAAGTAATAAATATTACAAATTTTTTTTTCCCCAATAATTCAATGCACATATATACACTGAAATACACATTTCAGACTACAAGCTTAACCTTACTTTGGTTTGTATAATTGATCCAATTTGTTTAATGACAACCCAATATTGATTATGACAACAGTAAGTAGAAAAACAGCAAAACCACTAGATTATGATTTGGTCTTGTTTATTCTATTATTTTTTATAATTTAGAGACCTTAAACTTTTAATTTGTGGCGTATTGGTTGAATAAATAAATTTCAACTGGTCTTAATAATATTATCACTGATCTTATAATCATTAAACCACAAGTAAATGGTATAATATATGAATTGTATTATAAACTTACAAGACATTAAAAGTGGTACGGTACATATTTAACAGTATATATAGAACAATATGGTTCATATTTAATCAAATTACCTAATTAATTACTGTAGAAATAATAACAACCTTTCATCTTAAAGTTAATTATGATACATTAATTAATAACACAAGTTGATGATACAAAAATAAATTACATATAATCTCTTAATCAGCACTTATATATTAATTTAAACTACAAGACTGTGTCAGACACAATTAAAATTCTATAACAGTAAAATATGAACAAATACAGGCAATATATATTTATATTTTTAATTTGCTCATTATTGCACTGAAGACTGACTTTTTACTTATTACTTTCAAACTATTAAACTAATTTAAAGAACGCCTCAAAGAAAATCCCAAAATTTTCAAATAAATAAACATATAAAATTATCACAATATAAAATTTTCAGATCTTGGAAGTCTTTTTAAAGTTATTTTCAACTGGTAATCACTTATTTTTAAACTAAATGGAATGTACCTATTATGTCTTTCATATATTACTTGGAAAAAGAACATTTTTCTATTTTTTAAACTTAAAAAAAATAAAACAAATAAATAATCCTTTAGGATTTTATTATTCAGTTCAATAATATAATTAAAAAAATAAAATTTAAAAACTTAATAGCAAAATAGCATTTGGTTACAATTCACCTTTATACAAAGCTGAGAGCCCCTCAGAAATAACAAATATTTAAATAAAGCTCGCATGGCAAAATCTTAAGCAAAACAATGTGCAAACAGTGCACAATAAATAAATCTTGACACTTAATAAAGATTATAGACAACAATTCTCATATAAATTAAGGTTTGAAATCAATCAAATGTGTGAATATTATACTAGCAGATCTCCCACTGAATTATCTAGTAAAAAATCACAGACAATTCAATGGGGAATAAAATTATTAAAAAAAAAAGATAAAGTAATAAAAAATTCTTCAACATAAAATAACTTCAATCAATATGTATTGTTTACATTAATTTTCTTTAAGCAAAATTTAGCTTTAAAATTAAGCAATAATTGAAAACAAAAAATCTGTAGAAATGTTAAATATATGATGATACAAACAATGCTATAAAGCAGGGTCTCCAAACTACATCCGCGAAAGTTTCTTTGATTACTTGGTAAAGTTTTAAAAAATATTTAAAACATGAAATTTAGCAAAATACTCACACACGAGGTTATTAGAACATTTATTTCATGTTTTTTCTCTTCATCAAAGCTCATTTCACAACTTAAGTGTCATTTATTGAACAAGAATTCTTTTTTTCATCAAAAGCTATGGCCCATGAACGTTTAAATGGAGATCTCAATGCGGCCCATGGGCCAACAAATTTGGAGACTCCTGCTCTAAAGTATGCATTCAAATATTTAACAGGTAACTCTCAAACGTAACCTACTGACTTTTAAAATTGTTAGCATATTCATGTCAGCGGCTCGAGTGATCTTGGATAACTAATGCCATAGTGATCTTGAATAACTAATCCAACTCCCATTACAGCAACTCTTTGGTTTTATGAAAATTATCTCAAATGTTTAAATATATCTGATTTAAGTTAAATAAAATGCCCATCAAAAAGTATGTATCAAGTTGGTCACATACTCCTAGAAACAACTGAATCACAAATGTTATCTTCTTGATAAAATTATTTCTCATCACAAAAACATCGGAGAATAAACTAGAAATATATTTATATTTTCTTAATAATTATAATTGCATTTTGACACAAATGAGTTGAGAAGTTCCTCATGTTATTTTTGTTCTTTTTCTTTTTTATGCTAATAACAGCTTTTCTATAAATTAAAATTTGACCAGTCGTAGCACTGATAGTAATGCTTGAGATAATTAACTAACAAATTAAAAATAAAGTATGATAACATTAAAAAGGTTGATGCTCCAGAGACAAAACATATTAACTTAAAAGGTATAAATATTAGCTATTAGGGAAGAGAAAGGTGGCACATGAAGAAGTCTCTGCCTTCAATGCAGGCATCAGTCTTTAAAGAGAGCGTATATGTTTTGACTTGCGCAAAAGTAAGCAGCAGGAGCTTAAATGAGCCATAGGGTTTTTGCACAAATATGAGACAGCTAGACTTTTACGGTTGAAATCTATCTTCTCAGTAAAAATCTGTAACAAATATAAATATAGAGAGTAACCAAATGATTCTATAACAATATATAAAGCTGTTTTTTTGTTTGAACATCCTTGAACAGAAACTGCTCAAGATTTGAAAAATATATTTTTGAACTGAATATACTGAGAAGGCTTTATAACATTGCTACGATGTTATGAATCATAAGAATGGGGCAGTAACCATAAACATAAATTCATTTGGAAAACTGAAGACAATAATGCTAGCATAGCTACCTATAACCTTCCAGGTGAGCTTTTGTCTAAAATGAGGCCAAGATATCGTACAGTGTTAGATCTATATAATGTGATATTATTACAAAGGACTGGTGGACAGGAACTATGGCAGAAGATAGAAGTCATACATGTATATTTCAATTCAATAATTTTTATCCTTCATTAGTTGACTGCAACTTGATCTGTGAGAGGTGTCTTTGAAGATTGGAAGAAGCAGGGATTATAGTATGGCTGCATCATAGCAAATGGTGCTAGAAACCTTTCAGGAGTGATAAGAATATCAATAGTGATGAAGATACAGAGGACCAAACTCAAAAAGCTGCCTTGGAAAACTCCTGTTTAGAAGGAAGTTGTTGGATATTTTGGGAACTAAGTAGATCATTCCCTGGTAGTTGACAGAGAGTTAACTTCTATAGTTGATATTTCCTAAAAATCACGTTTTCACAGTCAAAAGGTACACCAAAACATCAGAATAAGTAGAATTTAAAAAACATAAAAAAGAAGTTATTCGATAACTATATAAACTTAATACTACTGCTAAATTTGGAAACAAAAGTTAAATGGCTAACTTTAGAATCTTACAAAAAAAACTTCCCAAGAGACCTTATGGATTGAAGCAAGAGATAGATAAAAATACAAACAAAAGAGTTATACAAAAAAATTACAGAGTTTTTTTAGTCTCTCCTCTACACAAGATATCAATAAAACTGCTAGTTTATAACAATGGTTTATTACTTTCAACATAAACCTGATGATATAAATAAAAAATTAAAATTATATGATAATAACATTCTATTTTTAATAAAGCAGAGATATGAGCAAATGGAATCTCCAATCGCGACCTTTTTGGGGAAAAAATAAAAATGGCCAATGGTAATGTCAAAATCCAAGGATCATTGTGGGGTCTTTGGTAAAAAATTTGAAAAAAAAAATTTGTAGCTGTTCGCGCATCACACAACTTTTACTTACCAACCTTAGAATAGATAGGTATTTTCATATATAGGAAAGCCTAAGTGAAAATGAAGGTATAACTTTATTTAAATCAATTAATTACCATGTTTTTCCTGTTAATCGAATCTGTTATATTTATACGTTTGACTTGGTTTTTATTTTATTTCACAACTGTCTAGAATCAAACAATACTAATAATTGTGGAGAAAAATGGATCTTTTGGAAAAATTTGGAAAAGTTTAATAAGAAATATTTATCAGGAAAGTTTTCGAAAAAATAACTAAATGCTAATAAATATTGAATATTATTAGATTTATGTTAGTAGATCCTCAACATTTCGGGTGAAAATCTTTTTAAAAATTATGGATAAGCGATATATAAAAGTTAAACTAACAGTATGAAAGTCCTGTACAGAGGGGTATCGGGTATCTGTCAACGGAGAGGGTTGGAAAAAGTCGGTCACTCCTGGCTGTTTCTACATAGGTTCCAATCATTATTTCTTACAATCAGTTTTTTTTGTTGATCATCTTTAATCATTTTTTATATTGGCTAATAATGTGAAGTGGTTAATTATTACAAATAAAGAATTTTGAAAATTAGGCATTTCAACACTGTTAGAGAACATCAATAGTAATAAGAGCTACATTAAATTAAAAACCTCTTAACTTTACACTGATATAATGAATTTAATCAAAATAGAGCCGTTTTCAAGAAAATTGCAAAATCAATGATATCATGTGTCACTTCCGATTAGTCGATTTTAATGAAAAAGTTGTGACATCCAAGAAATGCGCAAACCTTAAATACGCAATTTAAGTTTCGTACGACTATTCATTTTCGAGTTAGACTGACACACATACATGCGCAGACCATTTTGCGATACTATGTTGCAATACTATGGACTCAGGGAACCTCAAAATATGTATTTTCATAGAAAATTCGGATTAAAATATTTTCACGATCGCAATGTTTTCCTCACTATATATTTCATACATAATTAGTGAAATTAAAAATCTATAAAAATACTGATTTAATTTGATCATTTATGTTTTATTGTTTGGCAGAGAATTATTAGTAAGATGAAAAAAATTTTCAGGACTTTCAGTCAAGATATTTTTATTAGGTTAGCCAACGTTTCGACCCAAACATGTGGATCCTAAAAATCCTCAGGGCTAAAAATTACAAAATATAAAATAATATCAATAAAATAATACATATAAAAATGTAAGGATAATAGTGATAAAAGTAAAGAATAGAATCAGCAAAATGATGAATTTAAAAGTATAGAGAAATAGTAGATTAAACTATACATCATATTAAATTGAACTTAATAATTATTTTATCTCAAGGTATGGGACACTGACAATCAGATCAAAACACTCAGACAAACTAAAATTATTTATACTAAACACAATTTGATTTTAAAATAAAGTTAATATGAATTGGCAAGCTAACCTTTTTTCTAAAACACCATGCAGGCAAAGGCGCTGCGCTTGCAATAGGTAATCAAAGTTAAGAAACGTTGAGCATGTTTAGTACTTGGATGGGTGACTGCCCGATTTGGGTGGCTGTCTGCCAGTGAAAGGCACACTGCTCGATTCCTATTCCCATCCCCAGTGGTATGTGAGCCCCATCAGGCTACTGGATGCGACTCATACCTACCGGGCATAGGACTGATGACCCTACCAGGATGTCAGACGATAGAAATATAGGTTCCCGTGTATCTGATGCCTCTTGAGCAGCCATAATTCATGGAATTAGACCGATCTGTCACTGCCCTTGAATCCAAGTGAGGGGGAGGGCTTTCGGGCTGAGGCCCTCCTCCAAAATGATAAAATATAACCATGTTTTATAGAAACAAATATTAAAAACTATCTTTTAAAGTATTATTGTTAGTGTAATTACATTTAATAGAACTTCAAGAGCCACTTAAAACACTATTTCATATAGGTAGTTAATTTTGTACCTTTTGAAAACAAAATTAATTATCATTATATATATATATATATATATATATATATATATATATATATATATATATATATATATAAATTATATTATTATATATATATATATATAAATTATATATATATATAAAACAAAAAAAAAGCTTTCGGGCTAAAGCCCCCCAAAATTAAATCCTGGATCCGCTAGTGCATGGAACCTCAACAAAAAGTTATTCAAGTAACTTAATTAATAGACACACAGATAAACAAATGGATTAAAAATGCATTTTTTTTTTTTTTTTTTTTTTTTTTTTTTTTTTTTTTTTTTTTGTCCCACGGATTCTGAAATACTTACGATTCACTGAAAATTGTCTTGTAGAAATTTTAACCAGAATACAATAATTTTCTTACCTAGCAGCTTTTGTTTTTAGCCCATAATTTGGTTTCATTTTGAAACAAAATAGAAGATGATGATGTGCCATATCTTAATCGGATCAAGCAGCCTTGGAAAAAATGCATTGACAGTGTTCACCATATAAATGGATGTTTTAATATAATTTTTTTAATTTTATTTACCTCACAAGGTAAAAACTTAAATTTTTAGGGGTGTTGAATGTTTTTTCATGATCATTAACAAAGTTCCATTATTCAAAAAATAAACCACAATAGGTGAATCATAAAATAAAAATAATACTTATAATTATAAGAAACATTACCTTTGCAGCCTGCGGTATTTCTTCAGAAGCTCTATGTATTAAAGTTCCATTGATATACATGACATTAGCAGCATCTTCCTCAGGAACAGTCAGAGTTTGATAAACGAATGTAGCTTCTCTTTCTATTCTCTAATAAATGTGTTACTGAATTAAAATTAATGTCATAATCATACTTGATTTATTAAATATAATAGGACTCTATAAACTTTTAAAAATGGATTTTGATAATTCATGTCTCACAAAGAAAAATAATAGAATAACTAGCTGGCCCGTGCGAATAATTTGCATAAAATATTAGTCAGAAAACAACTGACAGAATAGTATGGAAATATGTTAATTCAATGCATTGTGTAGTAAGTATTCAAGTGTGGTCATTGAAGGTGTTTCTCGTAGGCTGCGACCAGTTGTTTGTTTTGTTGGTGAACTAGGAGGGATAGAGCCGCCTGCTGAGTCCTTTTAACGAGCACCTTACTGGACATCAGTTGGTGATAATACCACATGTCATAAGGGAAGAAACAAAAAGGGGGAAAGTTAAATTAGACTGTGTAAACAGTAAATATCAACTGGGCTGATGTACACGTGAAATATATTCAATGAATAATCAGAGAAATTCCTACAAAAATAAGTAAATACTGAGAGATGAGTTGGGAACAGGAACTTTTGCATTAGCTAGTTAATTAAATTAAAATTACAAAATATTATTTTTCATTATTGGACACCCTCCTCCTCCCTTCCCTGTTCAACTTATCCAGGAAGCTTCCTCCATAAAATGACACTGACTTTAGAACTTCATTAGAAGAACAAAAAGGTTATAGACAGATGGAGGTGTAGTAGACTAACATTGGTATTATTGTCTTTGGGGTAGGCAAAAAGGACCAATATTTGCAGGACTTCATTCTCCCACCGGTACCAGTAGTCTAAAGTACATTTGACCGAAATGACAGGGCCACAACACACATGCCAGGCAACATCCTTAGAGAGTTGAAGAGGGATATCCACACTTAACAAATAATATATATAATATATAAGAGAAAGTGTTCTCCTTTATGCCGTTATATTTTATCTGTAACATCAAATTCACTGATTGTTAATATAATTTTTTTTTAATAGGTGTTAGGTTTGACTCATTAGAAAAATTTAAAACAAGATGTTTAAAAGTCTAATGCTAATTTTAAAATTATTTTTTAACACTTAATTTAATCATAAAAAAAAATAACAGGTCATTAAACTAACAATGAATTATAAATGCACAAATATATATAATTAGGCACTAAGCATACATTTACAATAAATAAAATTGTATATACCAGATAAGTTTCTAAAGCGTTTATAACATTTAAATTGTGCTTTTACGGATAAACTAGTTATAACAATCTCATTCGCAACAACTGTATATTTCACATCGAACTATATTATTTTCATAGATATCATACTATTAAAACTGCTTTTGAAAAAATCTAACATCTTGAGGTATTTAACGTACCAAATAAGGACCTAAATTGAAACCATTGTAACAAAACACAAACACAAGGCGTTACATTCAATAACATATATTCATTTTACTTATAAATACATGGTCAATAAATTAATTGAGTGGCTTCATCTCAAAGACTGTCATTTTCAGAAAGAGGAGAAAAAGACAATTTTTGTTTTATTGGTTTAGCTCGAACTGTTTCTGATGATTTAATTTATGTTCAAGTTGAATCATGGAAACCAATCATTAGATTTGGTTTAAATTGGTTTAGATTGATTGATTTGTTACAAATATTGGCTTATTCTCAACTTTTTAAAAATGACTGATGTTCCTCTTTGATATGAGTTTACTAAATTAATTAGTGCATAGTTTTAGAAAATGAACTGATGAGATAAAAATGCATTAACCATCCAATTATTTTTATCTAATTTTAAAACACATTGCCTTAGGTCACAGGCGGATCTACGGGGGGCTTTCGGGCTGAAGTCTCCCCCCCCCCCCTAAAATGGTAAAATATAACCATGTTTTACAGAAAAAAATATTAAAAACTATCTCTTAAAGTATTCTTGTTCCTGTAATTACATGTAATAGGACTTCAGGAACTACTTAAACACTATTTCATATAGGTAGTTAATTTCTTTCATATAAAAAAAAATCTTTCGGGCTGAAACTCCCCCAAAATTAAATCCTGGATCCGGTAGTGCCTAAAGTTTATTGCTTATAGTCTTGTGGTAATGTTATTTAAGGCCACAATAATTTCCAGTTTGAAGACAATTTGTTTGTTTCCAAATTATTCTATATTTTTTCAAAAATTCTCAAGCACTTGTATTTAGAAATAGGAATACAATCAATAAAGAACATTCATGGGTTGAATTGGTAAAAATCTTTCACTCATTTGATGTGTTATAAATAAAAACAACTTAAGAATAGGAAATTACTTAAATAAGTTGTTTTGGTTATGATATCTTCAGATCAGGGTCAAAAATGTTGACTATTGGTCAGAGTTATTAAGACATTTAAAAACCTTTGAAAATAGTAAGATATCATTATCAGCTCTATTCTCGGGTAGAAAGAATTTGACCAATCATTGATGATTGTGTTAATGATCTTAATGAAAACAATTAAATTTTTGAATATCAAAAATAATTTGTAATACAATATGGTTCTTGATACCACTTATCTTATCTTTTCTTTAAATATAAAATGTACTACTAAACTGTAGTAAAACACCTTAATATGGAAGAAGATACAGTGATATTTTTTAATAAAATGAAAGCATACATAAATGAATTGTATATTTTATCATAAATATGCTTGACTCATATATTACCAAGCAATTATTCATTAACATTTTAGGTAACAAAACATGTATATTATTTTATTGTGCTAATAATGTGCATAATAAAAACGAAACAATTAAAATGGAAAAACATAACCAAGGAAATTTCCAAGGTCCAACTTATTCTTTGGTTCAAACAAGTATATTTTATAGAAACAATGCTGGGAACATTACATATTTAATTAGAAAAGTCAATTTAAAGAAGACTTACTTCTGTAAAAAAAAATAATTATTATTTAACACTCAGTAATTAGGCTAATTGATGAAGTTCACTTTTACTGTATTTTACCAAGTATCAATACCAATATGTAGAACCAAAAAAAAAATTGAATATTTAATAGTTGACCATTGTATTATAAAGGAAGGAGATGGTCCGGAGTTGCGGTCATAAATAGGCTAAATAGTGGTAAAACTATTTTATTGAAAGCCGACCTTTCGACCCGACTTTGTAGGTCTTCATCAGGGAGGTGTGTTCATCTAGGAGTTTCACTTAGAACTGAGTTTCACTGATCTATGAGTTGTAAGTGAAACTCCTAGATGAACACACCTCCCTGATGAAGACCTGCAAAGTTGGGTCGAAATGTCGGCTTTCAATAAAATAGTTTAACCACTATTTAGCCTATTTATGACCGCAACCCGGACCATCTCCTTCCTTAAAAAAAAAAAATCAGATTGTTTTACCAAGTACCAAAAAAACAAAACTTTATTGACTGATATTGACAATTAAGTAATAAATATTACAAATTTTTTTTTCCCCAATAATTCAATGCACATATATACACTGAAATACACATTTCAGACTACAAGCTTAACCTTACTTTGGTTTGTATAATTGATCCAATTTGTTTAATGACAACCCAATATTGATTATGACAACAGTAAGTAGAAAAACAGCAAAACCACTAGATTATGATTTGGTCTTGTTTATTCTATTATTTTTTATAATTTAGAGACCTTAAACTTTTAATTTGTGGCGTATTGGTTGAATAAATAAATTTCAACTGGTCTTAATAATATTATCACTGATCTTATAATCATTAAACCACAAGTAAATGGTATAATATATGAATTGTATTATAAACTTACAAGACATTAAAAGTGGTATGGTACATATTTAACAGTATATATAGAACAATATGGTTCATATTTAATCAAATTACCTAATTAATTACTGTAGAAATAATAACAACCTTTCATCTTAAAGTTAATTATGATACATTAATTAATAACACAAGTTGATGATACAAAAATAAATTACATATAATCTCTTAATCAGCACTTATATATTAATTTAAACTACAAGACTGTGTCAGACACAATTAAAATTCTATAACAGTAAAATATGAACAAATACAGGCAATATATATTTATATTTTTAATTTGCTCATTATTGCACTGAAGACTGACTTTTTACTTATTACTTTCAAACTATTAAACTAATTTAAAGAACGCCTCAAAGAAAATCCCAAAATTTTCAAATAAATAAACATATAAAATTATCACAATATAACATTTTCAGATCTTGGAAGTCTTTTTAAAGTTATTTTCAACTGGTAATCACTTATTTTTAAACTAAATGGAATGTACCTATTATGTCTTTCATATATTACTTGGAAAAAGAACATTTTTCTATTTTTTAAACTTAAAAAAATAAAACAAATAAATAATCCTTTAGGATTTTATTATTCAGTTCAATAATATAATTAAAAAAATAAAATTTAAAAACTTAATAGCAAAATAGCATTTGGTTACAATTCACCTTTATACAAAGCTGAGAGCCCCTCAGAAATAACAAATATTTAAATAAAGCTCGCATGGCAAAATCTTAAGCAAAACAATGTGCAAACAGTGCACAATAAATAAATCTTGACACTTAATAAAGATTATAGACAACAATTCTCATATAAATTAAGGTTTGAAATCAATCAAATGTGTGAATATTATACTAGCAGATCTCCCACTGAATTATCTAGTAAAAAATCACAGACAATTCAATGGGGAATAAAATTATTAAAAAAAAAAGATAAAGTAATAAAAAATTCTTCAACATAAAATAACTTCAATCAATATGTATTGTTTACATTAATTTTCTTTAAGCAAATATTTAGCTTTAAAATTAAGCAATAATTGAAAACAAAAAATCTGTAGAAATGTTAAATATATGATGATACAAACAATGCTATAAAGCAGGGTCTCCAAACTACATCCGCGAAAGTTTCTTTGATTACTTGGTAAAGTTTTAAAAAATATTTAAAACATGAAATTTAGCAAAATACTCACACACGAGGTTATTAGAACATTTATTTCATGTTTTTTCTCTTCATCAAAGCTCATTTCACAACTTAAGTGTCATTTATTGAACAAGAATTCTTTTTTTCATCAAAAGCTATGGCCCATGAACGTTTAAATGGAGATCTCAATGCGGCCCATGGGCCAACAAATTTGGAGACTCCTGCTCTAAAGTATGCATTCAAATATTTAACAGGTAACTCTCAAACGTAACCTACTGACTTTTAAAATTGTTAGCATATTCATGTCAGCGGCTCGAGTGATCTTGGATAACTAATGCCATAGTGATCTTGAATAACTAATCCAACTCCCATTACAGCAACTCTTTGGTTTTATGAAAATTATCTCAAATGTTTAAATATATCTGGATTTAAGTTAAATAAAATGCCCATCAAAAAGTATGTATCAAGTTGGTCACATACTCCTAGAAACAACTGAATCACAAATGTTATCTTCTTGATAAAATTATTTCTCATCACAAAAACGTCGGAGAATAAACTAGAAATATATTTATATTTTCTTAATAATTATAATTGCATTTTGACACAAATGAGTTGAGAAGTTCCTCATGTTATTTTTGTTCTTTTTCTTTTTTATGCTAATAACAGCTTTTCTATAAATTAAAATTTGACCAGTTGTAGCACTGATAGTAATGCTTGAGATAATTAACTAACAAATTAAAAATAAAGTATGATAACATTAAAAAGGTTGATGCTCCAGAGACAAAACATATTAACTTAAAAGGTATAAATATTAGCTATTAGGGAAGAGAAAGGTGGCACATGAAGAAGTCTCTGCCTTCAATGCAGGCATCAGTCTTTAAAGAGAGCGTATATGTTTTGACTTGCGCAAAAGTAAGCAGCAGGAGCTTAAATGAGCCATAGGGTTTTTGCACAAATATGAGACAGCTAGACTTTTACGGTTGAAATCTATCTTCTCAGTAAAAATCTGTAACAAATATAAATATAGAGAGTAACCAAATGATTCTATAACAATATATAAAGCTGTTTTTTTGTTTGAACATCCTTGAACAGAAACTGCTGCTCTGATTTGAAAAATATATTTTTGAATTGAATATACTGAGAAGGCTTTATAACATTGCTACGATGTTATGAATCATAAGAATGGGGCAGTAACCATAAACATAAATTCATTTGGAAAACTGAAGACAATAATGCTAGCATAGCTCACCTATAACCTTCCAGGTGAGCTTTTGCCTAAAATGAGGCCAAGATATCGCACAGTGTTAGATCTATATAATGTGATATTATTACAAAGGACTGGTGGACAGGAACTATGGCAGAAGATAGAAGTCATACATGTATATTTCAATTCAATAATTTTTATCCTTCATTAGTTGACTGCAACTTGATCTGTGAGAGGTGTCTTTGAAGATTGGAAGAAGCAAGGATTATAGTATGGCTGCATCATAGCAAATGGTGCTAGAAACCTTTCAGGAGTGATAAGAATATCAATAGTGATGAAGATACAGAGGACCAAACTTAAAAAGCTGCCTTGGAAAACTCCTGATTAGAAGGAAGTTGTTGGATATTTTGGGAACTAAGTAGATCATTCCCTGGTAGTTGACAGAGAGTTAACTTCTATAGTTGATATTTCCTAAAAATCACGTTTTCACAGTCAAAAGGTACTCCAAAACATCAGAATAAGTAGGATTTAAAAAACATAAAAAAGAAGTTATTCGATAACTATATAAACTTAATACTACTGCTAAATTTGGAAACAAAAGTTAAATGGCTAACTTTAGAATCTTACAAAAAAAACTTCCCAAGAGACCTTATGGATTGAAGCAAGAGATAGATAAAAATACAAACAAAAGAGTTATACAAAAAAATTACAGAGTTTTTTTAGTCTCTCCTCTACACAAGATATCAATAAAACTGCTAGTTTATAACAATGGTTTATTACTTTCAACATAAACCTGATGATATAAATAAAAAATTAAAATTATATGATAATAACATTCTATTTTTAATAAAGCAGAGATATGAGCAAATGGAATCTCCAATCGCGACCTTTTTGGGGAAAAAATAAAAATGGCCAATGGTAATGTCAAAATCCAAGGATCATTGTGGGGTCTTTGGTAAAAAATTTGAAAAAAAAAATTTGCAGCTGTTCGCGCATCACACAACTTTTACTTACCAACCTTAGAATAGATAGGTATTTTCATATATAGGAAAGCCTAAGTGAAAATTAAGGTATAACTTTATTTAAATCAATTAATTACCATGTTTTTCCTGTTAATCGAATCTGTTAAATTTATACGTTTGACTTGGTTTTTATTTTATTTCACAACTGTCTAGAATCAAACAATACTAATGATTGTGGAGAAAAATGGATCTTTTGGAAAAATTTGGAAAAGTTTAATAAGAAATATTTATCAGGAAAGTTTTCGAAAAAATAACTAATTGCTAATAAATATTGAATATTATTAGATTTATGTTAGTAGATCCTCAACATTTCGGGTGAAAATCTTTTTAAAAATTATGGATAAGCGATATATAAAAGTTAAACTAACAGTATGAAAGTCCTGTACAGAGGGGTATCGGGTATCTGTCAACGGAGAGGGTTGGAAAAAGTCGGTCACTCCTGGCTGTTTCTACATAGGTTCCAATCATTATTTCTTACAATCAGTTTTTTTTGTTGATCATCTTTAATCATTTTTTATATTGGCTAATAATGTGAAGTGGTTAATTATTACAAATAAAGAATTTTGAAAATTAGGCATTTCAACACTGTTAGAGAACATCAATAGTAATAAGAGCTACATTAAATTAAAAACCTCTTAACTTTACACTGATATAATGAATTTAATCAAAATAGAGCCGTTTTCAAGAAAATTGCAAAATCAATGATATCTTGTGTCACTTCCGATTAGTCGATTTTAATGAAAAAGTTGTGACATCCAAGAAATGCACAAACCTTAAATACGCAATTTAAGTTTCGTACGACTATTCATTTTCGAGTTAGACTGACACACATACATGCGCAGACCATTTTGCGATACTATGTTGCAATACTATAGACTCAGGGAACCTCAAAATATGTATTTTCATAGAAAATTCGGATTAAAATATTTTCACGATCGCAATGTTTTCCTCACTATATATTTCATACATAATTAGTGAAATTAAAAATCTATTTAATTTGATCATTTATGTTTTATTGTTTGGCAGAGAATTATTAGTAAGATGAAAAAATTTTTCAGGATTTTCAGTCAAGATATTTTTATTAGGTTAGCCAACGTTTCGACCTAAACATGTGGATCCTAAAAATCCTCAGGGCTAAAAATTACAAAATATAAAATAATATCAATAAAATAATACATATAAAAATGTAAGGATAATAGTGATAAAAGTAAAGAATAGAATCAGCAAAATAATGAATTTAAAAGTATAGTGAAATAGTAGATTAAACTATACATCATATTAAATTGAACTTAATAATTATTTTATCTCAAGGTATGGGACACTGACAATCAGATCAAAACACTCAGACAAACTAAAATTATTTATACTAAACACTATTTGATTTTAAAATAAAGTTAATATGAATTGGCAAGCTAACCTTTTTTCTAAAACACTGTTTCTTCCTTTATGACACTGAATTTATTTGACTTACATTAGCAGAACTAGATTAGCTTGCTTTATAACTGTTCAACATTAATTTACTAAACCATTTTTACCCACTTCCAATAAAGGAGTATATTACAATATATATATGTAATGGGGGGCCATGCAGGCAAAGGCGCTGCGCTTGCAATAGGTAATCAAAGTTAAGCAACGTTGAGCATGTTTAGTACTTGGATGGGTGACTGCCCGATTTGGGTGGCTGTCTGCCAGTGAAAGCCACACTGCTCGATTCCTATTCCCATCCCCAGTGGTATGTGAGCCCCATCAGGCTACTGGATGCGACTCACACCTACCGGGCATAGGACTGATGACCCTACTAGGATGTCAGACGATAGAAATATAGGTTCCCGTGTATCTGCTGCCTCTTGAGCAGCCATAATTCATGGAATTAGACCGATCTGTCACTGCCCTTGAATCCAAGTGAGGGGGAGGGCTTTCGGGCTGAGGCTCTCCTCCAAAATGATAAAATATAACCATGTTTTATAGAAACAAATATTAAAAACTATCTCTTAAAGTATTATTGTTAGTGTAATTACATTTAATAGAACTTCAAGAGCCACTTAAAACACTATTTCATATAGGTAGTTAATTTTGTACCTTTTGAAAACAAAATTAATTATCATTTTATATATATATATATATATATGAAACAAAAAAAAAGCTTTCGGGCTAAAGCTCCCCAAAATTAAATCCTGGATCCGCTAGTGCATGGAACCTCGACAAAAAGTTATTCAAGTAACTTAATTAATAGACACACAGATAAACAAATGGGTTAAAAATGCATTTTTTTTTTTTTTTTTTTTTTTTTTTTTTTTTTTTTTTTTTTGTCCCACGGATTCTGAAATACTTACGATTCACTGAAAATTGTCTTGTAGAAATTTTAACCAGAATACAATAATTTTCTTACCTAGCAGCTTTTGTTTTTAGCCCATAATTTGGTTTCATTTTGAAACAAAATAGATGATGATGTGCCATATCTTAATCGGATCAAGCAGCCTTGGAAAAAATGTGTTGACAGTGTTCACCATATAAATGTATGTTTTAATATAATTTTTTTACCTTACAAGGTAAAAACTTAAATTTTTAGGGGTGTTGAATGTTTTTTCATGATCATTAACAAAATTCCATTATTGAAAAAATAAACCACAATAGGTGAATCATAAAATAAAAATAATACTTATAATTATAAGAAACATTACCTTTGCAGCCTGCGGTATTTCTTCAGAAGCTCTATGTATTAAAGTTCCATTGATATACATGACATTAGCAGCATCTTCTTCAGGAACAGTCAGAGTTTGATAAACGAATGTAGCTTCTCTTTCTATTCTCTAATAAATGTGTTACTGAATTAAAATTAATGTCATAATCATACTTGATTTATTAAATATAATAGGACTCTATAAACTTTTAAAAATGGATTTTGATAATTCATGTCTCACAAAGAAAAATAATAGAATAACTAGCTGGCCCGTGCGAATAATTTGCATAAAATATTAGTCAGAAAATAACTGACAGAATAGTATGGAAATATGTTAATTCAATGCATTATGTAGTTTGAAGAATTCATTTCCCTTCTCTTGGTCGAATTAAAATAGTTAATTCATAAAAAAAAAAAAAAATTTGTACAATTAACTGAAGTCTATATCTTTGCTCATAATAGTCCGATTTGGATATTTTTTTATTTATTATGTAGTCTTTTAATTATTCATGGAGTTAATCTACCATAAATTGCATACTTTTCCCTTTTATGGCTAACTCAAGTTTGTTTGTTTTTCTGAGATGTTGGGGGATTGTATTTAGACAATCTTTAAAATGATGGTCCAATAATTGGAACTGACGAAGGTATGGTGAAATAAAACACCAGTGAGAAAAAATATATATTATATATTGCATTTATTTATGAAATTGTTATATATTTGTGTTTTTTAAATAATTAAAAACAATTTGATGCCATCTTCGTGCTGTTTTTCAAAATTTCAGCAATATTATTTTCCAAATCCACTTAACACCAATGTTCTTTATAGGCACAAGGCTCAGTCTAGATGTGCATCACCGTGATATTTACCACGCAGGAAAGAAACTCAAGGGATGCCCCCTTTGTCAATAGGTTTTCATGTTTTAGCCTTGAATATCCAATTTGTAGTTTGGCTAAGCTGATCTCTTTTATTCTTTTTAACTGCAGGTGTGCTCGATTTGTAACTATAGAGGGCTGGAAATTGTAATGTTTCATAAGAATCAGAATCCATGACAACAGTGGCAATAAAATTTCCTATCGCAGGTATAAGGTTGGGCTCAAACAGAAACTGAAAAACTGTACATTTAAGGGCTTTAAAAGGCAGTTACTTAATCTTAAAAATTGTCAGAGTTATTCATTTACTACACCAAAATCAGAGATTAGGAAAGTAGGTTTCGAAAATGGTACATGTAAAAATGATAATTAATATTTTATAACACTTCTTTATTATTATTATTATTCGTTATTATTTTGTCATTTGCCGACGTTTCGACCTGAAGTTCAGGCCATCATCAGGGCTAAGAAAAGAACCAGATAACAAGGTATGAGAAACCTAAAAATTACAGTAAAATGAAGTTGTTAGAATAATGACAATAGTAAGAACAAGAGACAAATAATAATAACAGGTACAAAGTGTGGAATGATAAATTAAACTTATTCAAAAAGGTGACATAAGTATTGTAAAGGGAATCTTAGAATAAAATGTAAAACAGAAAAATATGAAGTTATATAAGAATATTATCATTTATTTTTGCCTCCTTATTTGACTGATCACCCCAACTATTCTTCTTCTCATAACATACAATAGGCTGTTTCTTTGTAAATAATGGTCTGATTTCCATGGTTTTTTTTTTTTTTTTCATTTTGTAGGTAATTTAGCAAATTTTCAAATAATAATGGGTCTGATCCGGAAAAAAATTTATACTTTTTAAGTAATTCGCAAATAAATTTTCTTTTCATTCATAAATTTTTTCTCTGAAATTTCAGATGAATGTTACTATGATTCATCACTGCACCATTTAATGCTCTTAATAAGATTCAATTTCAGATTTTTATTTTATAATCATAATACTCAGAATAGAGTATATAACAGTTATTATTAACAAACTATAATAACAGTTACTGACATAATATTAATTGCTATAAATAATAAAGTAACAGTTATGAATTGCCGGTTTAAAATTATTATCACTACAATAGTAATAATTAATTTCTTTTACTTTTTGATTGATGTATTTTATAATGAATAAAAACAAAAGATTATCTCATCTTTCATTTCACATGTTTTTTCTTACACACACACTTAAAATAGAAAAAAACTAGAAGACTACAAAATCATAGTAACACTAGAAAGAAGAAACAAGCACATCATTAATGTGCAACTTCCTTTTCTTCTATACAGCAGGAAGGAATTATCCAATTGACAATTTCCTCTTCAGACTAAAAATTATTTTAAAAACATTCTTGCCATATTATACTATAAGAGTAATCATGGAAGTGCACAAACAGTCAAGCACCAAAACCTCATAAACTATAATGAAACTTCATTTCATTATTTGTTTTCAAACCAAAAACATATAATCTAAAATAATAGATGTTACCTTCAAGACATCTTGTGAAGCCTTTTCAGAACTAATACATAATACCTCTGGCCCAGCCATAGAAATAAATGCTTTCAAATGTTTTTTTTCAGGTACCTAGAAACAATTAAATACTAATTTAATATTATACCTGAATCTTTAAAATTTAAGACTACTTTAAGTTTTTTTACCACATGAAAAATGTTTCATTCATTAAAGGAAACTATTCAATGAGAAGTGAAGTAAAAAAAATAAATAAATAGGGTAGAAGCACCAATAGTTGACAGTGTACCAACATCGGACATCCTCCTCAAAAAATGGAAATAATTAAATTTCAGGACCTTCTAGACCTCTATTTCATATATTTTTGGTTTCTATATTTTCTCCTAGTATATTTGTCTACTTTGCTTTAGTCTTGCCAGAAACCTCAACCAAATTATGAGTGGCAAATTAGGAAGGTTCACCATTGTTCACTTAGTATCCCAGGGACAACAATCTTTCAGTAAGAGCACCATACCCCCATACTCTAGATTTGCCTTTTTCTCTTTTAACTACTCAAATTTATCCCCACATTTCTGTTTGATTGTTTTTGGAATTTTTAAATTATGTTTTATCTGTCTTTAACTGTCAGATATTTAATGGGTTTCAGCTATTGGGGCCTTATATTAGAGACTTTTGTCACTACTGTCAACTACTGTCTGTACTCGCATAAATCCAAAGATAACGGGTCTTAAAATAGGACTATTCACTTCTATCTCATTAAAAAAAAAATTGCTAATGATTTGGATTAAATATGTAGCAAGAATCGGTTCTCCTATTGCCAAAAACAGGTTCTTGACAGTGACCAGCATTTATTGATACATTTAAGCGTGGAAACGCAAGAAGTTAATTTTATAATTTCTGATAATCTTAAAATGAAGAATATGAAATTTCCCTTAATTACATTCTTTTTCTCATCTCTTTCAGCTATAGGAACATTTCAAATCAAACAGTGTCAGATACTGGTACAACAAGACTATTCTCTTAATTTTCAATTTTTTAAAATTCAGATAAATGATTCATGGATTTGAAAGATGTCTTGTAAAGGTCAGAAATAGTTATATAAGATGAATCCATGAAAAATATAACAACATCAATATTTTAGCTTTTACAGGTAAAAGTTCAAAGAAATTTCCAGCTACTAGTGCATTTACCCTAAACAAAACACAAATGAAACAATAAAATTTATATTTCAAAGTTCATTATAATGTATTATAATAATAATACATTATGATTATATATTTTTATATTTCTAGATAAATAAAGTGTAATAGCATAAGAAACAGATCATGCCAGAGATATTTGAACTACTGAGATCCAGAAATTTTTAGCAGAAATATAGTGAACACCACATTATAAGAAAGAAATATTTACAAAAGATTGATGATTGTTGAATTTATTACATGAGTGCTATATTTTTAAAATTTTGTCATTATTATACCTTTATTTCTTTTTATAGAGCTGGTTGATGACCTAACTTGGCCAACATTCTTGAACTCATTAATATCTATCAGAATGATAGAAATTTTATTTTATTTTTTTTTTAAATATTTTTACTGTTGAAGTTTATAAGTAGGCATCTCAATGAATAATCATATTCTAAAGTTTTCAGATTGGTACTAGTACTGGGGGGGGGGGGAGGAGGGAGAAACTTGCCCGGCAAGTGGGCCACATGGTCCTTTTTAGAGTTTTTAGATACAATGTAAATAGTAGTGATTAAAGGCTCAGTGAGACAGAATATGGTCTGCCTCTCTGATGCATAATTTGTATAACATAGAGATGATACATACTGGTCAAAAAAACGGACAGTGTGCTAACCAATAATTCTGCAAGATACAGAAAACTATTTGAAACATGTTTCAGGGTCCACTAAGACATGGACAGTTGACAAAGTGGAACAATTAATTGATTATGTGTAGAGTATGTCTTTTCATATTATCCTCGTCATCCATCAAAAATGATGTATACAATATTATATTGTATTGAGGTATAACTATAGCATAATCACAGTAACTTGCCGAACTTCTCTTTTTTTTTATTTATTTATTTCAAACAGCCATTTTCTTGTATGACGGAATATAAATGGAGGAAATATTTCTTCTTTGACAAAGAAACTGCTAGACATGTTGAATTTAAAAAAAAGAAAACGAAAACATGATTTCAAGAGAGAATGAATTTGAAAAATCACAGAATATACTCTTCAATATTAGTTTTCATACTGATCAACCTCGACTATACCGCATTCTGTCCAACCAGCCTAGTTCATGACAGACTGTAGACTTTGTGGCAGAGTAAGGAGTCTAGTAAAAATCTGTTTAAATGTATATATATATATTTTTACAATATATATTTAGGATAATTTATTGAGAAACACCCAATATCCATTGTTTGACGTTAGACACACAATTAGTGAGATAATAGCTACTGGATTAAGGACCTTCTGTGCTCTACGTATTATAAAGTTACAAGAAACAAAATGTATTTATTAAATTGAAGCATTCCTGATTTATTTTTTCTTACCATTAGTATAAAAGTAAAACAAAAACCAACCATAAACTAAAAGTAACAACTAATTGTAAACATCATTTATTAATTTTTGAAATAATTTTATTATCAAACAGAATATCATACCTTGATAGGAGCACAAGGAAATTCTGGGAATGCTCTAGCCAATGCTCTTGCCCCAGCCTCATTTGTGAAGTCAGATATTCCAACAAAAAATTCTTGCCCTAAAAAAATTAAAAGTAAATAAATAAAAATTTAAAAATAGTTATTGGCTCAGGTATTTCCATCAAAAAGAAAAATTAATCATCATCCTCTTAAGCATAAATTAAAAAAAAAAAATTGAATCAGTCATTTTTTTTTTATGGATGATCAAATAAAGAATAACCATATTAAATATCTCCTATATATTCTTAAGTTTATATATATACATATATATATATATATATATATATATATATATATATACATAAATGGGAGTATTTTTTTAAGTAGAGTTGGGCGTTTCTGCTACTTATGAAAAACATAAATGAACTATTCGTTGACAAATACAACAGCTCTTAAGAACAATTGAAAAAAATAGCTCATAGGACAACACAATGATTTATGGGATAAGACCTATTCGTTTAATAACAGGTCTGGAAATAAATGTAACGTTTCATATATAAAGTTTGCCATTATTCAATCAAGCTTGAAATTAACAATCTTTTAATTTATTTTTAATATTAAAAATTACTTTTTAAGCAACTACGGTTTCATGATACGGAAAAGTCTGAAGTATTTACTTTTTAAATTTGAAATTGTGAATGAAAGACTATGTGTGATCCGTTTAAAAGGGAGGTTCCTTAATACATCTATAATAAGTGTGCATGCACCAAAAGAGGATAGCGAGGATGAGGACAAAAATAATTTTTATAATACCCTCTTCAGAGAATATGATTTGCTGTGTGTACATGATGTAAAAATAATTATGGGAGATATGAATGCCAAGATCGGTAAAGGATTGGCATTTAGGCCAACAATTGGACCAATAAGTAAACATGAATCATCATGAAACCACAATGGGCTGATAATTATCGATTTGCTATGAAAAAGAGTATGACAATTAGGACACATTTCCCACACAAAGAGATACATAAAGAAACTTGGATATCCGCAAATGGGAAAATAAGAAATCAAATTGACTATGTTCTCACAGATGGCAGGCATAACTCAAGACATCTCGGATGTGAGAAGTTATCGAGGCGCAGATGTCAACTCTGATCACTTTTTAATGAAGGTAAGCTACGGACAGAGTCTTGCTAAAAGGACTAGAGGACATGAAGAGAAATGCATAAATATAACAATGAGCTCCTCAAACTGAAAAACTATTCAGACACATTTAGGGAAAAATTTAATGGAGTCTTGGAAGACATAAGGAAGCAAAAGTAAGAGAATAGACGATAACTGGAAGAGAATTGAAAGTCCATTAACGATGGCAGAAGAGATCCTGGAAGTAAGAGCGATTGTGGCAAGAAGTGAATGGTTTGATGAGGAGTGTCAGATGGCATTGAGAGAGAGAGGAATGAAGAAAGAATGAAAATGCTGCAGAGAAATACAAGGCAAACTAAGGAAGTCTATAACACAAAGAGAAGGCCTGTCAAGACTATTTACAGGAAGAAGAAACGGATGCTGGAAAGAAGCAGAGTGGAAATGCTACAAGCTGAATAGGAAGCAAAGCAGTTTAGAAAGTTTTACACAAAGTGGTCAGAGAATTTAAGAATGGTTTTCAACCTAGGATAGGTGTTTGCAAAGATAGAGAAGGTAACATGATCGGAGGAACCGCAGAGGTATTGGATATCTGGTGACAATATTTCCAGCAACTTCTGAATGGAGATGAAAATACAGAAAGGAATGTGCTGCATGGACATACACAAGAGGAATTACTGAGTGACTAGGATTATGTGGAGCCCACTGATAATAAAGATTTTATGGAAGTGGTTGAGAAATATGGTAGAGAGGACCTACTAAAGAAAGTAAATGACTTGTTGGAGGTATGGATCGAAGAAAAAATGCTAAAAGAGTGGACTGTAGCTAATATCTACCCAGTTTTCAAAAAAGGAGACAGACCAAATGTGAAAATTATAATTTTCTCCTGGGGGTAGTATATAAGGCATTTTCCTCATTCCTAAAAAAAAATACAAGTATGGTCCGAACATATTCTTGGTGAGTATCAATGCACCTTCAGGCCAAATAGATCTACAATCAACTTAATATTTTATGTAAAACAGATGCTAGAAAAATGTAATGAATATAATGTAGATCTTCATCATCTTTTATTTTATTTTAAGGAGGTTTATGACAGTGGCAATAGAAGCAAATTATTGAAAGTAATGGTCACTTTACGTGTACCGAAAAAAGCTAACTAGACAAACATGGATGACACTGACTGATAGTTGCTATAAAGTCAAGAAATAAGGAGCACTATCGGAAAAGTTTACAGTTGAAGAAGAGCTAAGGCAGGGAGACCCCTTGACCCCAACTCTTTCCAACCTACCCTTAGAATAAGCAGTATGTACTATTCAGACAAGACCTAATGTCACGATATATAATAGACTGTCACAGCATCTAGCCTACACAGATGATGTAGTAATATCGGCTAGATCAAGAGTTTCTTTATTAGGGGCATTTGAGGAGTTCAAAAACACTACGAAAAAGTTGGAAAGTTATCAAGAAACCCACCAGAAAGAATGGAAGAAATTATCGAATTTAGAAGCCTTCAGAATAGCAAACCAGTTGAAGTATTTGGTTGTTCTTGTCACATCAAAGAATGAACACCAAGAAGAAATTAAGGCAAGAGTAGCTGCTGGAAACAGGTGCTATTACGCTCTTCAAAAACCCTTAAAATTCAGAGGCCTGACCAACAGAGCTAACGTCATCTTATATAAAACAGTAATTACGCCAGTTGTGTCTTGTGGCTGTGAGACTTGGGTACTTACCAAAGAAAGTGAAAGAATTTTAAAAGTTTGGGAAAGGAAAGTATTCAGAAGAATATATGGACCTATCTATGAGAATGGCAACTGGAGAATAAGAAAGGATGAGGAGTTTAAAAGTAATTCCTAAATTTCAATAATAAAAATGATCCTGAGATCATAAATGGTTTATAAAATAAATAGTCCTTACCTGTAAACAAGACATCTCCTCCTTCCAAGTAAGCTTGTTCATCAACGACTTCAACAACAGGAAGTTCTAATTCTTTTTTCAATACTGCCCGAACAATATCAACCTAGAGACATATATCAAATAATAATAAGAAATATATATACAGTGCAATCTCAGCAATCTTAACTTCATTAGTCCACACACTATACCAATCTCAATCCTTAAAAACAAAAATAATAATAAATGAGGGAAGTAAAGCTGAATAGAAAGAAAGTTTTGTTAGGAAAATATTCTAACCCAAGAAGCTCGTCTAATTTTAATCAGTCAACTCAATGTGCAACTGCGAACAATGTGCCTTAGGAACAAATCCTTCTCTTATGATGTCTAAGAGAAAAAACAGTAAGGAAGTACTTACTTAAGTCAAAACAAAGATAACCGAGTACTTAAAAAAAAAATTTAGAAGTATGAATTTAATGTTTTTAAGTAAGTATACATATACGTATCTAGTTAGTGAAGTTGTATTAATTTATTGAGTTTTAATCTTTTATTATAAAGAGTTTTGAATACCGTCTGTAATCTAAACACTCTTCTGCAGCAATGGGTTCTGATTACCGAGATTGTACTGTACGCCATTAATGATCATTGATGAATGAAAATGATATTAAACAAATATTACCTCAATAAAAGAATAGACGAGTGAGTGTGTGTTTACACTATATTGTGTGAACATTTTATTTTATATACATAATTAGGATTTCATCTAGTAAAGCATGCATTTAACACTATTCAGCAAATTGAATTAAATTTAAAGATTTATTTTTTGAAACAATGAAATTTTTTAATTTCATATAAATATAAAAAAATTTATATTCAAAATGTTATATCTCAAGTTTAAAAAGCTATTACTGATTTGTCTAGAGATTAGCAACAGATTTACATAGTACTCAGGATTTCCAGTCACAGAACATGAATTAGATATTATCTCAAGAACTGTATTTTAAAATCATCAAATAGTGTGGAGTAGAAAAGCTATTAACAAACCACAGAAATGATAATGTAATGGAGTTAATTTAAAAAAACATTTATCTTTTATACAATTTATATAAATGGAATACTTTTAACAATTATGATTCTTTAAATGAGCATTTCAATCATTATATTTCTCTACTTACAAACTCAAACTTATTTTTTATTTTTATCTTATTTCAATTTAATTGTTCAATAGAAATTACTAATTTATAAAAAAAGTAATTTGTATAAATAGTAAATTTGCTAAATCATATAAATGTAATTTGTCTCAAAGCTAAATCCATGATTTAATATTCTCCTCCCTGATGATTTACACAGTACATTAATCACTTTATTCAATTATAGGAAAAATTATTATTTAATGATTATTATTAACATCAAGTAACTAAAAGTATATTATAAAAAAGAAAGTTTTGAATCTAACAGGTAACAGGAGAATTCAATCAAAATGACCCAATTATAATTTTTGGGATGAAAAGCTGGATGAATATGTCACTTCCAAGAATTGCATATCTTAACCTGTTGGATCACTATATTATAAATTAAGATCTCAGCTTAAAGGTATTCTTTCGTTTCTTAATTATGTGAAGAAGTATGTCAAAATAAATATAGAAACTGTTCTGTTTCAATCTAAAAGGAACAAAGAATTATTATATTGAAACTAACAAATAGAACAAATTATAGAAAATAATGAACTAAAGATGCAAGAAATTACCTCTTTGAGGCGTTTCTCATCCTTAGGTTTGGCTATAAGAACGATTCCATTACAAATTATGGCTGTATCTTCGATGTAAACACAGTTGGGGAGTGTCTCATCAGGTGGCATTTCTATCACATCCAAGCCCAGGTCTCTAAGGGCTCTAACATAGGCTTCGTGTTGAAGTTTGGCCTGCTCAGCTGAGTCTTCTTCAGCAAAAGACGAAGAAACACGGCAAACGAGTGCATGAGAATATCGGAGAGGTGCCATTGCAAGTGAATATCTTCTAGAGGAACAATTGTAGTCCTTACAAGACTTATATTAGAGATGACGTCAGCCCGGCTCCCCACATTATTGACTAAACATAAAAACCAAGCGAGCATCGGCCGATGAGACCGTTCTCCGCAACTTTTGTGATAACCTTTCCTCGTTTCACGCTTCCCCCACTCAAAGGTTAAAAGGCTTCACTTTCCACTGACCAGCGCAGGGGTCGTTGAACCAATCTGGCTACCAAAACATTAACCCATCAACATGTTACGAGGTCTGAGCCAGCTTTTTCTATAATTTGCTGGGTGTTTCAATTAGAGGTGGGGGAGGAATTTCCGATTTCGGACGTAATTTCCACGTCTTTTAATTGTAAAGAACCTTCTAATTCTTCTACAGGTACCTGAAATAAAATAAATTAAATTAGAATATTAGAGTAAAAAAGGAAATGTACTAACGTCAAATATATTTATCATCAGTAGTACATTTGATTTATTCATAACGTCTGCGACCATGAATTCTTCATCGTCCATGGGAGTGTTGGTCTTAGTTTTAACACATCCTGGATTTTAACCCAAAATAATTAACTTTATTCAGTGAAGAGCTGATAATGGGAAAGGGTGATCATTGAACCCTCCTCGTATCCGTATTTGGCCAACAAAAATTTCAAAGCAAACTTGGTTTAATTTATGAATACATATAAAAAATAATTCTACGTGATTTTTTTTTTAATCTCATTATAGAGGCTGATTAAAAATTTAGAAGAAATAATTATTCCTTATTGAAATACGAGTAAAGAAGATTTTGAGGCACACCTCATAGTCAATGCCGTGTTAATGACCTGTAATATTTCAATTTGAGCAGGCATATTTATACCAAATGCATGTTTTGAGGGTATTGAGCCTTTCATTGAGTAAGAATTCATGATGTCGAACCATTTATTTATCATTAATATGAAATCATCTGTATCTTCCGCCAGCTTTTAATTTCCTACGTGATACCGCTTTAATGCAGTTCCAACACCATGAGAAAATAGTTCTGCTGCCAACCTTACGCTCTGCCGTTGTGTTTTTTACAAGAATTTGAGTCAGTTTATAACATGAAGTAATCTTCGGGTAACCTAACATTAGGTAAATCTTACACTGGCTGCTTTGAAATAATTTTTAAATTTTTTAAAACTAACCCCTCATCTAAGAACCGATTTCTGATTAATTTTAACAGGTGTGGGCCATCAGCAAAAACAAAAATTTATTTCAATTTATCACAAAGGTTAATAAAAAATGCATTATCTATATCGATTCCCAAATGCGTCTTAAGTCCACGGTTTCCATTTCCACAGTTTATATTGCAAGCGCAAACGATGTAGCCAATTTCGTTTAATAATCTAATGCCTTCCATTAAAATGTCTGCAGTAACCTTTTGGTCAAAACCTACATAAATTGGTTGCTTCCAATTTAATGTAAGCTCTCTCGCCATGATCATTTGCATTTGAGAGTAAGGACCAATTACTTGGTCTTTCATATTATAATATTCATACATTGATGAAACTTTCAATTGTATAACTGTCATTTCATCAAATTGTATAACTGTCAGTTTTTCGAGATCGGTCGTAGTTAATGATTTGATTTTTATAAATCTAATTACATCATAGAGGAACCCTCTGCTTAGATCTATTTTGCTTGCCCACCTTCTAGGAGAGGAGAGGCCAGGCAATGGGTAATTAAGTTGGTCTCTTAAAAAAGAATAACATTTTATACGGAAGTATCTGATCGCAAACGCGTTCGAAATTTCTGCACTGTTCCAACGAACTGATTGCCTTTACTTTACTTTTTTACTTGAAGCTCGCCTCTCTCTTTTTCTGTTTTTATTAGACCACTTAGTTTCTTTTCGGCCTGTTCTTGAAATTGCTTGAATTTAAAAGATTCAGTTTCTATAGCATTTCATTTTTCAAAAAAAGTTGATCTATTATTTTTTGTTCTACTGTTCTTTCTTCAGTATCGATGTTTTCAATTGTCTCCACACTGGTATCCTCCGATTGTGTGGGGCACTAAAACAATGAAAGTAGGCCAATGATTAAACTTATAATAAAATTACTACATAGAATAGAAGAATCAACTTTATTTTGGGACAAAGTCCCTTAAGAATAACAATATTGTACATAAAAATTAACAAAACATCTGGCCAAAAAGCATATTACAATAAAAAAATATTAAAAAAATAAGCAATACAAGAAGTATTTACATAACTATACAGATATATTAAAGACATAATATGAGCAATAAGATCCTAACACTGCAAAATAGTTGCTAAAAACAATAAGCTATGGAATTCTAAATTTGGAACGAATTTGAATTTCTAAATTTTAAATGAACGACAAATTACTTTTGTTGTCATACCATTGTATTAATGAAAAAAATAATAATAAAAGATTGAATAAATATTTACTTTAAATGATTTACATATGTACTTTAATATGTTCAAAGAATACAATAATAGTATTGTAAACATTACACAAATCCTATATAATCTAAATCCTAAGATGTAGATTGATCGGAGAAAATAAAAGATTATATATATATATATATATATATATATATATATATATATATATATATATATTATATATATATATATATATATATATATATATATATATATATATATATATATATATATAGGAGATTATATACATATATAATATACATGATAAATGGCTACCCAGCGTCTGATTGAATTGTAAGGAGGAATTGGAATAAGAGAGATTTAAATATGGTTAAGGATGGTGCATGGCGGATTTAAGCGGGATGGAATTTCAAAAGTTAGTTGGAGCGGACAATAAAGGAGTGTTGAAATGAGGCCGATTTGTGGAAAGGGGTATAAAAGTCGGAAGGACGAGATCTTTTGAAGAGGGAGTGGATAGATGACTTGAATTGAATGAGATTGATTGCGTAGAACGGAGGATGATTATAGATTATTTGTTAAAGGAATGTACCTAGGTAATATTGTCTCCTGAAGGAGGGAAAGAGCCACCCTAACTCGGCGTAGTAGTGGAAAACACGAGAACGTCTCGGGGTTCCATTGACAAAACGTACTAAGCTATTCATGGTTCTTTATAAACTCATAATTGGTAATTGGTTGACTGTCGTGGATAATGAAGAGAAGAATAGTTGGGGTGCTCAGTCAAAAAAAGTCTTCGTTCTTTATATACGTTATAAAATCCAAAAATTTAAATTTTACCAGTTTTTTAAAGATGTTTTTTGTGCCGAAGGCTGAGCAATTCTGCATTTAAATCTCTTTCGAAACATTCATCTGAAAAGTGCGCTGAGAAAATGCCAGAAGTAGCTGGATTAAATGACTTATCACCTTGCTTACAATTTAAAATCCAATATTTTCTTCGAGCGTCCTTTGGAAAAGTATGAAATGAAATTTTCTTTTCCCATCTTCTTTGCGTCAATTAGATTGTAGCAAGATGGTACTGCGCATCTTGTACCTGGCATTCTATAAGAATCTATTAATAATTATATTATTATGAGAAATACAAGAAATACTAGTAAGAACAAACGAATTCTCTGTAACATGTTATTAAAAAAAAATACTCGTTATAATATTATTTTAGAGACGGATAAGTAGTTGACTGTTAAGATTATAAGGTGAAAATACATTATCAGGATTTACAGTAAAAATTTATTAATTTTTTTAATTAAATTTGTTTGTTTAAAGAAATTTTAACAGCGAATCCTGACAAAGATCTTCACACTCATAATATCTTATAATATTAAAAGAAATACCCATGAGATCTAAAAACAAAATTACACAAACATTGTGCTAAAATATTCTCTAAATAAATATAAATCTTAGTTTTTTCTATTTATCTAATATATTTGTATATTATTTACAGAGATTTTCAAATAAAGAATTTTTAAAAAATCTTAATATCTATTTCGTTCTTATCGTCTGAGATCAAGTCTGTAATTTTCATAGCATTTTATTCGAGGTTGCCTATCGTATTTATTGATTTATCTGCTTGAAATTATCTTCAATTAAACGCCAAACACACAGAAAAATATTCTTTTCAATAAATTACACCAGTAAAACTAAAAAAAAAAAAGCACATTAATATTGAAATAAACCTCCAATAATAGGCTTGCAAGAACTATAGGTAGGTTTGGCGGTCTAGTCATTACGTCACAATGCAAGTTCCCCCACCACACATTTCTGAGTAAGCGAACCTGGCAGTTTTATTGATCTTGGTTCAGCAGTCCTGCCATATAACATGCATTAACTCTACACACTCCCAACTAGTATCAAAGCTCTTAAATTTTTTTCAAACTCTAATAGATGTTTAGCTCTTTCTTCTAGTTTTCTAAATTCCTTTTTGAACTCAGGATCATTTTTAGCTATTTTCTTTTCTACTGAAGTAGCTAAAGTTGTAAATAAATTTCTCCACTGAGCTCTTTCTAATTTGGCAGTTTTCAACTCTTCAGCGATCATTATCCTTAATTTCCCAAACAAGGGATGGCACTATGTGATGTTAGAAAATCACTTCAGGAAACAAATGAGATTATGTTAAAAACTTTTACACCACAAATACACAAACTACCTTTATTCCTCTACATAAACATCACACTACCAGGAACTACTACTCTCTGGGTAACCTCATGCAAGCCAACCTGCTTTGTTTACAGCTCAGCAGTGCTGTCAGATAACAAGCATTAACTCTACAAATATTTTAAGTTTTTTTTCTGTTTAACTAAAGAATGAAAATAACTAGACATGAACAGAAAATAAGGTTATTATATACATATATAAATTGTAATAGTCGAAAACATGATATGAACCACATTAAAAAAAAATTAAAATATCGAAATAAAGTATATGCCAACGAAAAAATAATTAGTTTTAACACATAAAAACATATTAAAAAAAACATAACAAATATAGTACAATAAGTATGTAAATGCATCAAAATTTTGTATTTTCATCCATAAAAATCTAACATGAGACGTTTTTGAAACAAGAACATAATTTAAAATTCAATATATAACTCAAAAATAAATATAAAGTTGAATAAATAACTAAACAATCTAGTAGGCGCAACCCATAACTTTCACTTATCACTCTACTTTGGATAGAAATTATTTTCAGGAAATTTTGGGCTATTATACAATTTTAACCGAGTTTAAAGTGCAATTTTAACCGAGCTAAAGCTTATAGCTAACAAATCATTAATACCTCTAAAATAACAAAAATCCTATTCATTATATTAACGGTTGATTATGGGTTGTACGACAATTAGTCATTAAACTGTTATTTTCCATTGCAAAGATTACTAAAATGGAATTACGATATTTGCATTGCCTATCATAAATAGGTCAAAAGTTGTCGTAATTATTGTATGTGGATACTGTTGAGATGTCACAAAGGGAAAATTCATCAAATTCACTAATTTATTCACTAATTTAATTTTCTAGAAGGTTACATGATGATTTCTCGGAATAACCGGACGATATATACCTAATTATTTAAATATAATATCATGTCTAAAGTTATTAAACTACAGTAAATGTATTTAAGGTTACAAACATATCCATGAAATATTTTTTTAATTTTTAAAAAGTTCACATTTAGTAAGAAATTCCATTCAATTTTCTTAGAAACGTGTTATTTACGTTAAATAATGTTACTTTTTAGAAGTTATTATTTTTATTTTTTTGATCACTCTCCGTTATCTTCTAAAACTTTATTTACTAGATATAATTTTTTTCTAAAATTATTCGGTTTTCAACGATATATTATACGTATAACTTCTGACTATTATTTCCGGAGATTCATTTTCAAACTGGATAAGCATTTTATTTTGTCCTCCTTTATTCAATTATCAAATTTCTTTCAAAAGTTATATTTAGCATTTTTCCATAATTCTTAACAATGAGAGATAGTTAATTATTTACAATAAACCAAATTAAAGGTACTTTAGAGGAAGATATTTTGAACATACGGCATTTGATCCCTGCTAAGCGACATCAATAGGGATAAGACCTAAATTAAATGAAAAATTAGTTAATTATATACTGATACACCGAGTTTAATCAAAATCGTTAAGAGCCGTTATTGAGAAAATCGTAAAAATATTTTAAAACGATGATATGAAGTGCCACTTCCGGTTAGCCGATTGATGAAGAAAAAGAAAACAGAAAAAAAAAACACTTCAGGCATATAAAAACCTTAAATATGCAATTTCACTTTCGTACGACTTTTCGTTTTTGAGCTAGACTATTAACACATAGACCATTTTGTGGGACTTGGTACCTATGGACTCAGGGGACCTAAAAATATGTATTACAATTGAAAACTGAGGCTCGAAAATTTTCACGATCGTAATACTTTCCCTTATTGTACATTACATACAAAGGTAATTGTGGGCGGGGTAGCCGAATGGGCTAAGGCGTGTGCACTGCACCGCCGTTGCCCCGTTGCCGGGCAACCTGATATATAAGATAGTGATAAAAAAATAACCACGAGTTCGCGTCCCGGTGCCAAGGGAGTCTTTTAAATCCCCGCCCACACCCCCTGGCCCGGGAAAACCCCGTATAGCCTTAACGGCGAGGAAGGGGAGGACAAAAAAAAAAAAAAAAAAAATACATTGAAAGTAAAATAGAAAAAACATTTGAATTAGTCTGCTTTTCAGACATGTTCTGCATTAAAATTAATCACAGATACATTTCTAAATTTGCTTCTATGAATTCTAGCCTTTTATCATTTAAAATATTTTTATAACTAGAAAATGACCTTTCTACATCAACAGATGTGATAGGGGAAAATTTATATGCACTTAAAATTACGGGATTGAGCTCAATGTCGCTGAGAACAATTGAATCTTCGCCATTTAAAATTGTATTAATATCTTCCAGAATCGTGAGACCTGATTTTTTTTTATAAAAACCTTTTTCATTTAAAGATTCACACGCGTGGTGTGGTACGTTAGATATAATGTATTTTAATTGATTTAATAATTGGAAACTTTCGTCTAACAACAAACTTATTTCCTGAAATCGTTTGAGTTTAGTTGACAAAAAACTAAGATGGGAATTAATGAAAGTTGAATTGCTGCTAAATATTGAACTATTCATTATTTCATATACCTTTTCACGCTTTGGACTGTATATCCCTTATTTTCAAATAATTCACGGACAAAGGCTTCGAATTGGTCAAAATTTTCCGCATAAAAAACCATCCATGTACCCCATCTTGTTATCACAGGTTGAGGAGGTAATTGCTTTCCGTCCACCATAGATTAATATTTCGTGACTCTTGATGGAGATTTTAAAAACATTTTTTTCTCGTTATTAATTAATTTGTTAACATCCAAACATAACCGGAAATAGGAAAAAAAATTTTCTGCTATACGATCACACCC